ATAATGATTAGGAAGAAGGAGGTGGGGGCGTAAATTACAATAATAGGACAGAAGTCTGGGCTGGTCAGATTTTCCCCCCCGTATTTGAGATTTTCCCCCCGTATTTGAGATTTCCCCCCCCCGTGAGATTTCCCCCCCCCGCTAGTAATGGTAGAAATTAAGGGAGATGCTGCATCTACATCCCTAAAACACTGCATCTACATCCCAATCCGCCCTGTAGCTACATCCCAGCCACGTGACCTAGGAATACTGTGCTCTGATTGGTCCATTTTGGGGAATATACTGTGATGGATCAGAGGTCCGCAGACCTGGATGCCTTGTGGCCCTGTGGCCCGTTTGCTCTGTAAACACCAGAACAGATAAACGCCTCGCACACCTTAGATAGATTCCTCCTTCATAGCAACAATTCAATGTTTGCCTCACGATTGGAGATTCCCGACAGTGAGACTCTTACATATACTAATCGTGAGAGACCTCGTTTTTGGGCCACTCTCGTACAGATCTCATTTGTTGACATGGTTGTAGGGTGACGGGTTGGTCTAGATTGCTTTTATATACACGAGGCAGATTGATTTATATACAGTAGATTTTGAAGAAGATCAAAAGAAAACAGTTTTTTGAAAAGAAAAGGAAATTAGTTTAAAAGAAGGTAAGGGCGGGTTCGATACCGTGTTAAGAGAGTAGAGAGTTGTCCGTCTAAGAAATTCGACCCTACGTAGTTCTTCTGTAGGTCCCGGTAGAACTTGGCCGTTTTAAGCTCGCAGAGGCCGCCAACGGAGAGAACGAGGGGGAAGAAGTCCTTACCGTGAGCCCGATACTTTGCAATCTTGGCCTTGGCTGCCTCGTCGAGGACCTGAAGGGGCGGCCTAGCTTTGACGGAGCTCGCGTGGACTGAGACGACGGTGAGGTCGTAGAAGGTCTCTCCAGGGGGGCCCAGGACCGAGATGTCAGCGCGGTGGCCAGTGGGGTCACGTGAGTCAAAGGGAGGCTCCTCCTTGATAGTCCTCGAGGGGTAAGCCACGCGCATGGCGCGCGCTAAGACTCCTCGGATCGTATCATGGCGGGTGGCGGTCCCTCGTTGCCTTGTTCGGCATGACTCCGCGTGGAAGGGTGTGTTTTCTATTCCGCAAGGGCAAATGGGCTCTTGGTCGCCTCCGAGGAGCATTCGAAGTTTCAGGGCCGTAGCTAGCTCTCCGTCCGCAAGAAGAAGTGGTTTTTATGAAGGCAGGACGTTAAGCCAGTGGCGACCGAAAAACGACGCGTTTTCCGTCAGGGTAGCGACCCTCGTGGGGTCCTTTTGGTCGCTAAGGGTCTTTTGGACCCGTTCTAGCCGTTGACGGGCCAGAGATTGCCCGATTTCCCTCTGGGGGGGCGTGGGGGGCCTTGGGGGGTCTGGAGGGAGGTCTGGGGGCGGAGGAGTTCCAACAAAGACGTAGGCGACTGGGAGGGGCTGAACTGGGTCGTCTGGGTCAATCAAGGGATCCCGGAGGGGCGTAGGCCAGCCAAGGGCGGTCCGGAGGGACTGGGAGGCGAGCTTTGAGGCCGATCGGTAAGCTGGGATGCTTAGTTCCTCGTAGAGGGGGAGACCGAGGCCTCCGAGCTTCACCGGCAAGGCGATTAGGTCTCGATCGAGCGGGTAGGACGTCGGGTCGCCTCGAATCAGGCCAATGGCGCGCTGGATTTCGTCGTCTGCAGTCTGCCAGGTTTCTCCGAGGCCGAATGGGTGTAGAGTTCTTAGGAGGTGGCGGAGGGTTAGCGACACGCACGTGCGTAGGAGGAGGAGGGCTCCTTGTTTCGGGAGGGCGAGGATCCGGGAGACGGCGGTCTTGAATTCGACGATTTTCGCTTCTAGGAACTGTTTCCTAGCGTCGTCCGGTCCGATGAAGCTTCCGAGTGCCCGAATTCCCTCATTTCGGACGAAAGTAGTCGAATATTCGCTACTTTTCGTCTCGTTTAAGATCAGGGGCGCTCGGAGGTTCCGAAGGGTGTCCCGAACGATTCCCCGGGCTCCTTCGTTTGGCGAGAAAAGGTAGATATCGTCGAGATAGGCGATCATCTTGACTCGTGGGCCGAGGACTTCGTGGAGGGCGCTGAGGGTATCCCGAATTGCGATCGAGAAGAAGAAGGGGCCGAGGGGATCTCCTTGGCGGACTCCTTGGGCGGACGTGAGGAGGGGGCCGCCTGTCGTGGCCAGAATGGAGGGTTCTCCGTAGGCCCATTGGGCTAGGCGGTAGAAGTCTGGGGCGTACTTGTAGATTCCCTTAGCCATGGCGGTCCTATCGACGGTATTGAAGGCGTTTGAGAAGTCCAACGACGTAATTCTGGAGAATTGGGCCTTCTGGTCGCCGAAAACGGTCCGTTCAATGGCACGCAGGGCTGGTTCCACTCCTCCAGGGGATCCTACGCCAAGCTGGTATGGGAGAAGGGAGCTTGGCGAGTAGTTTTCCCGCAGGATCGCCTTGGCTACGACTCGGTAGAGGAGATCTCCGACGGCGATTGGTCGAAGGCCTCCGTCTTCCTTTGTCAAGGCCACCAGGCGGGCGGCGAGGAGGAGGTCTCGTCCGTGGGCGGTCCCTTGGACGATCTGCTTACCGAGGAGTTCGAGAAACGAGGCAAATTGAGGCTCCTTTGTTGCGATTTCCGTCAGAGCCTTGGTCCATCCGCTCAGTCCTGCCGAGGTTTCCGTGGGAAGGGAGCGTATTGCGGCCCAGATGGTGTCCTTGGATGGGGCACGTCCGGAGCGGGGCTTGAGGGAGCCTCCAAAGGGGCGGGGCGGGCCAGGGGGGTGTTTTTTCCGCAAGATTTCCAGGTTTTCCGCTGTTAGCGGGGCGGGGCGGGCGTCCGAGATCAGAGTCCGAACGGCTCGGGAGAGGTAGCCACGTTTAAGGAGCTTTTGGGCCTTCTCGAGGGTCTTTGGCTGTAGTTCTGATATGTCCTGGGGGATAGGCGGCGAAGGGGAACGAGGAGGCGTTAGAGGTTCCATGATCGGGGGCGGAAGAGGGGCAGGAGGCCGAATGTTTGGGTATTTCCGGAGGGTTTCCGCGATTGGTTGTCCGAGGCCACCTTCTCGAGCTAGCGCGAGGACTTTTGGGAGCAGGAGGATGTCGAGGAGGGACGCGGCGGTTGGGCGGGCCAGGTATACTGCGGAACAGCGGGCTGCGGCGGTTGCGAAGGCTTTGGCGTATCTTCCGTGCAGAGGGTCTTCGGTTGGGGCGACATGGGCGTAGCTGAGGAGCACTTCGAGCTCTGGGGAGATTTCCGGGACCGGAGGGGATTCCGTTGGCTGGCTGGGGTTATCCGGGCCTGTAGGAGGCGGCGGAGGGGCGGGGCGGAGATTTTT